AAAAAAAAGGAAATGTCTGGGAAAAATCTGTACGTATGGTGATCCTACCACTGGGGATCCAGATAGTCTCTGTAACATTCTCTGGTAGCTCCCCTAGCCAGAAGCTCCTACCCCTGTGGCTTGCAGGGCTAAACTAACTTGCACGCCACCCAGGGCCCTGCCCCCTTCTGGTCAGGAGGCTATCCTGAGCTGTCTGCAGGCACCTGCTAATTGGCCTCATTGCCTAGCTGCTGCGGTGCCCTGCAGCTGCTGCGCCCTGCAGCTGCTGCATCCTGCCTGCAATGTCCTCCTCTGAGTCTCTCTTAAAGAAACAGAGAGCCCTAAACTCTCTATTACAAATGTAAATAACAGTATTTGTTTAATTATAAAGGCCCCAAATTACATGGACAGTTAATAGAATACAGGATAATGCATTGACACACGTTCAAAGCTTGAAATGGCCTTGAAACTTGAGGATGATTTTCACAATTCTGTTTATAACTCAAAAGCAGCACCAGTTGTCTCACTAATATTTGACAAGGGCTCAGAAACATAGAATGTTTTAAAAAAGTATTGGGCAGGCAAGTTCTTGGGTAGATGTGATATCTTTTATTACACCATCTAAATAGTTGGAAAAAAATTTCTTTGCAAGCTTTTGGGCACAAAAACTCTTCTTCAGGCATTGGGAGACTGTTGGTGTTCTGTGATCTCCAAGGTAGAAAAGAAGCTAAAGTATAAGAAGTCTTTTGTCTGTGAAAAGGCAAACGGGTAAAAGTTTAGAAGACAATGGGTAGAGATAGAGAAGGAGGGAAATGTGTGAGGAATGCAAGTGGTCAGCTTGAGGCAGGTTACCTGGTGTGTCAGATGTCAGGCAGTTTGTAATGCATCATAAAACCAATGTCTGTATTAAGTCCATGATTTTTTGTATCCAATAGATTTATAAAGTGAAGTTCATAGGCTCAGCTACAAAAGGTAAGTTTTGTAAGTTCCCTTTGAGGATTAGAACCGTGACATCGAAGAGGGAGTGAGTCTTGTGAAAAGTGTGCACCCACAGGTAATTGGATATTTTTGTCTTTGATGGATTTTCAGTGTGTGTTCATTCTGGTAACACAGTTGTTGTTTGGTTTCTCCTACATATTCTCCATCAGGGTATTTGGTGCACTGGATGAGATATATTACATTTCTGGAGGTAGGTTCTGTTGTGTAGTTATTGTGGGCCTGGTGAATATGTGTTGGCAGATTTTACATTTCTTGTCCTGGCATTGTCTGAATCCATTTGGTGTCATTTAGGTCATAGGAAGTTTGCTTCTGGTGATGAGGTTAGCAAGGTTCAGTGCTTGTTTAAAGGCTAGGATGGATAGCTCTGGAAAGATCTCTTTAAGACTTGAGTCTTCTAGTATGGGTTGCAATTGTTTGAGGATTTTTGCATAGGTTCCTGGAAATCCACCTTTCCCACACCCCTGCTCAACAGAAGGTTGCCCAGGCACTGTAGCAGCAGACTAGTTTTATGTCCCCTTCCTATAAATTTCAATTATTAATGATGGAAATATTATTTTTGTCAGTCTGTGGGTGTGCCATGAGATCGGTGTTTATCAATGTTAACCGATAAAAACTGAATCCTGCCAAGCCTATTTATGATCCAGGCCTCCCACTTTCTGGGCAAGTGTGCTAATGACTAGGCTATTTATATAAAGTCGTGCAAGAGGCAAGGATTCAGAAGATACCTTTTATTGGAACAACGGTGTAGTTGGGATGGCGTTAAACAAGCCTTCAAGTGCAAGACATTTTTCATCAGGTCTGACCAGAACAAGCCAGGCACAGCATAGTAAAGAACAGTTGTGGAAGGGAGCAAGAAAAATTCCCAGGGGCAGCAGACACACAATTAGCAGAAAAAATGGTTTGGAGCAGTACTATGCCCTTTCAGGTGCAAGTAAAGTCATGTGGAGCCTTGCCTTGGAAATGCTATGCGCTAGGAACTCTGAAAAAAATCAAGTCTTAGCATCTCAAATCAGGCACCCAAACATAGTAGACATTGTTTTAATTACAGATGTCTCTAAAGCAGAACTTGAACCAGACCAGGTCAGATCCAGCACACAATCTAACAAAGGAACCGACTGTAATAGTAGGCTATCACTCATGTCAGTAGTTCTCAACAAACGGGATACAGAGGTGCCACAGGTAGGCCACAAGGGTGGGTACAGGAAAACCATCCAACTCCCCTCCCTAAGATTTGTACACTAGCAGACAGCAATGAACTGAGCTGCCCAACTGCTCACTATTCACTAGTTCTCAATAAGGAAGAGGCACAGCCACTTCACTTAGTGCACTGCTACAGAGGTACACATGTAGTACTGCACAAACACAGCTACACTGCTTCCAGTCTAGAGGTAGCACATACAATGCCAACTCAGGTGTCTCTGCAGCATAGCTAGCAAGAGCACCAAAAGGCAGGCAGGCTGTGGGATTGTAGAGAAAGCCAGAGGATCAAACAAGTTGAGAATCACTGCTCTATGTGCTCAGGACTGTGTGTGTGTGTGTGTGTGTGTGTGTGTGTGT